AAAAAAACATTAGAATAGAAATAAAATTTATTATAACAAATTATTTTGCAGTAAAATGTAGTTGTTAGATGTTTATGAAAATACTGGATGCTGCCCACACCTCAAAAATCATGCAATTTGAATAGAGTCCCTCATTAGAATAAGTTCTTTTGCTTGAGATGATACTAAGACTAGTTCATTGATACAAGATAGGAGCTTGACATTCTGGGCAACAAGCTCCATCCTTTGCTGTCATCAAAAAGGTACCTTACAGCTTTACAAAACAAAGGCTGGGTGTAGAATGCTTACTTCACAAAAAATTGTGTTTCCTTAAGTGGTGTATTTCTTGCATCGAAGTAAGAGGAGATTTATAGACAAGACAATCCTTCCTGAAGAGAGTGAAGTTTTATTCTGCAACACAATAGTGTAATGATTTTTTTCTTTTTCACACACACACACAGTAAATAAATCTATTACTTTAAAGTGAACTTCAAATGATGAAAATGACCAAACAAAGGATGTTGAATCTGGGAATAACCTTATTGTGTTAGAGGCATATCACAACAAAAGGTAAAATGGAAATTGCATCTGTAAACAACAGAAGTTGGATCAGTTGGGCTTTTATGGTGATAAGCTAGTTAAGTGCAAATTGAGCCAACATGACAGTGGGTGGCTGACCACTTGTGTCCAGCAGAAAAGCTGTGCCCCAAAGGGATGATGATATTTCTGGTTGATTCTATATTATGAAGGTTCACAGGGTTTTTTTTGTTGCTTAAAGTTACCTTTCCTTTCAGGTGTGAAACAGACTGCACATATCATTTCTGTTTCAGATGTTTGCAGGTTGCATTTGAAGTATGGTGTTTTTCCTGACTCTTTCTATGGTAATGTGTTATTTATGTAACACAAAAATTCATACTGTATGATCATTTCATCATCTTTAGTACTTGTAAAGTAGATAATAAAATGAAATCCAGATTTTGAGCTCTTTTAGCAATAACTATCTGTAACATTAATGAGATTGTACAATGACTGAACCTTGAAAGAGTTGTTTCTTTTTGATGGACAGCTAGTCTGTAACTGTAAGAGTATTCTGCACTTACAGAAAAAAATGAAAATTGTTGTGTATTCCGAATAAAAGGCCAGGAACACAGTAACCAGATCAAGATGGTGGAAGAACTGTTTTTAATCGAAAAGCAGAAAACCTTGTGTACAATACCAAATATGGAAAACAGGTCTTGTGACACTAGCTTCTACGTAGAACAGGGAAACCAAAAATAGGAAAAATCTGACAAAAATCAAAATACCATAAACTTTCAGCTATTATATTTAATTTTTGAATTACTGTATTTACATTTTTCCTGGTCTGCAGATGGCTTATACTAGTCTAGGTGGGCAAGTCTATAAGTATCGTTTTGATTTAAACTATAGAAATATTTGGTGGTCACTGTTCCCTGATGGTCTGTTGGTCGATTACAGTGGTTTCAATTTAAGATGATACACTTAGTCAATAGTTTGCATGACAGGCACAATGCCTTCAAAATAGAGTTTGACACCATAACTCTATATATTCATATCACTAGCAGTTATATACCATATGGGTTCAAGCTCTCTGACCTGTTGAACTGTAAATTGGGGATTTCAAGTCCTTTCTCCTATCCTCTTTTACAGTGGGCACTGATACATGCCTAAATCTCCGCTTTACTTAATTTAAAACAAAGAGAGCT